CATTGCCCCTATGGCTTCATTTTCATCGGCACCACAAACTAGGCAAAAACAACTGAGACTTTAATGGGGATACAGAAAATCTTTCCAACTTCTCCCTCATATATAACTGTATCAAAGCTTTAAATATCTATTGTAGGATACATTGTAATTGGGGAAAACCTGTAGTAGATTCCTAGCCTCTCTTATTTGATCTCTATTATTCAGCGATACATTTTGTAGTCTCTTTTCTTTAACCCGCTAGCTATTGATAGCCTAAGAGTTGGCTATAAGTAAAATGAAATGAAATAAAATAAAATCTATAAAACGGAGCACTGATGGAGAGAGGAGGGAAAGTGCGCACGGAGTACGCCCCTTCGGCTATGCCATTGATAGCAGTTGAGCTTCATCTGTAGGACGATCTCTGAACGTTAGGCATATTACTTAACTTTGTATATCACTAGGTCAGCTGTGTATGGACGTTACGTAGTCATGGTACTTTCTATGTTGAAGACAGTTCTTGAGGTAAGATGTGTCTATAACAATGAAATTTCGCGTTTTAAGTGACTCTGTCTTGAAAGCTTAGTTTGTTTGGAATTAGCTCTTACAGCAATATCCGTGAATGCAATGCATCGTATAGGCTAGATTAATAGCGTTGCAGATAGAGCAAAAGATTAGCGTTGGGTAGAACATTATCCTGCCCAATCTCCATTAAGGTGGTTAATATGGATAAAATGCAAGTCATTAAATATATTATTCCTGAAAAAATATTATCTACTTATTTATAATTATTCCATAGACACGTATTACAATTTTTTTTGTAATTGAAAGTGTGAATTTTCACAGCTAAGGGGTCAAAAAAAAAAACACAGGAAAGCCAGGGCATAAAAACGAATTTCTTCAATATATCTCGCCAGGAAAGTAATATTTCTGGAATCAAATAATGTATACATAAACTTTATACAAGAAACAAACTTTTCGCTGCAGCCCTGATAGAAAAAACGAAGGTTTTATGGTGAGGCTATGTACATATTGCCGTCAGATGCGAAGTCAATACGACGCCTCAGCTCTATAGATGTATCGGGGGTATATTTGTCTAATTTACTGGTCCTACGTAACGTGAATAAGCCCTAACAATATTTCATGTACAATTTAGGTTGCAGTACTGTTCAGTTTATTCATTGTTGCATTTGGAATGGCCTTCTTCATATTGCTCGACAATATCCAAGTTGTAAGTATATCGTCTCAAGATGTCTCGCGGTTTAAAACAATACGCCCAAAAAACTACTTTATTTGTCGTCGAAGAGAAGGGTTTGATTACTCAGATCCTCCGTAGAAGTCGGTTTTTGCGGAGGGAGAAAAACCGGAGAACCCGAAAAAAACCCTTCGAGTACGGTCGTGACACCACAAGGGATCGGCTACTCCAGACAAATCACATTGCTCGAGAATTTACTYTACTTCCAATCAAATGCCCGAAACACGGCATAAACACGGAACGGACAGGGTCACGCCAAGGTCACGGCACTGTCAGACCAATCACATAGCGCGAGAAAAAAATCAGCCAATTAAAATTCTAGAAAACCCCACGGCACGGCACGCTTACGGCACTAAGCTTTTCACAGTCATACGAAAACTGCTCAATGTACAGAAATGAAAGGCACGATCCCAGCTTAGAGAGGCAGCACCTTCCTTTCTTAATACGCATGAGCTTAGAAGATACGAGCCTGCGCAGAAGTATATTTTAATTTTGTTCATGATGATTGCAGACYCAGTTTAAGTTTCATTACGTCAGAAATGATATATTTGTTTTATTTTTATAGTCTGCGTTTTCAACCGTCGGTAAATCTTTTGCCAAGACGTTTGTCATGACTCTGGGAGAAGTGTCCTATGACAGCACCTACAACCAAACCGAACTCAAACATAGCTTCCTCAACTATTTTATCTTTGTGATTTTCTGCTTCTTGATGCCTATCATCCTGATGAACATGTTGGTAAGGAAATGGTTATAAACTAGCAGAGGGAAAACAGGAAAAGGGAGTGGGGGCAGGGGAGAGAGGAGAAGGGGGCAGGGGATAGAGTAGGGGGGCAGGGTAGAGAGGAGAAGAGGGCAGGGGATAGAGTAGAGAAAGGGCAGGAGAAAGAGGAGAAGGGATGAGGTATAGGGGAGAGAGGAGATGGGAGGGGGATAAAGTAGGGAGGAGGCAGGAGAAAGAGGAGAAGGGAGGGGGTAGGGAAGAGAGGAGAAGGGAGAGGGATAAAGAATGGAAGGGGGCAGAAGAAAGAGGAGAAGGAAGGGGTAGGGGAGAGAGAAGAGGGGGGCAGAGGAAAGAGGAGAAAGGAGGGGTAGGGGAGAGAGAAGAGGGGGGCAGGGGAAAGAGGAGAAAGGAGGGGTAGGGGAGGGAGAAGAGGGGGGCAGGGGAAAGAGGAGAAATTCTTGACTAGGTAGCGCCTTCCTTCCGCTCTTGTATTCGTATGGTTTTATCAAGGATAACAGCTTCTGTGTCGCCTCTTCGTATAGACATTGATACTGACTTACCTCTGTATAACAGATTGGTTTAGCTGTTGGTGACATCGATAATATTCGTCAGCATGCAGTAGTGGAGCGTTATATCATGCAGGTAAGTATTTGAAACGCACTGACGTCATTGGTATCTATGGTTACCGTTTGCCGTCCAGTCCCGCCCCAAATATGACAAGGGCAAAGGGACTGGTATCTATGTTTATCGTTTGCCATCCACTCATGCACCAAATATGACAAGAACAAAGGGATTGGTATCTATGTTTACCGTTTGCTGTCGAGTCCCGCCCCAAACATGAGAAGGATAAAGGCAATGGGTGTTGCACAGGAGCTCTTAAGGTTTGTTAGGTTTTGCGGGGGGGGGATAGGGGGGAAGGGGGGAGGGAGAAAGCAGAGGAAAGACCTAACGAATGTTACTCACATGTGATGCCGAGTACACGAATGGTACCTTAGACCTTTGATAGGTGAGAATCGAGTGCACTACTCCTACACCTCCCTTGATCGTTCTGTGATAATCCAGGGTATATTTTTGTCAAATAGTTATTAATTACAAATGACAATTTCTTGCAGATTGAACACCTGATAGAGTTGGAGGAGTCTCTCCCCATGTGGATTCTTCGTCGATTGAGGATTAAAGAACACGTGGAATACCCCAACCAACCTAAGGGACTCGTTACCAAGGTAACATGGAAGGGAGGGGAGGGGAGGGCAGACATTTAACCTTGTCTTCTGAAAATTTCAATGTTTTTGACTGCAAGGTTGAACATGATCATAATCTGTCTCTTAGATGTCTATCATCAGTTATTGATGGACCTACAACAGATCCCAGGAAGGTTTAAATAATATAGTGACACTATTTAACTGTTTGCTTTGCTTTGTAGCTTTGGGATGCTTTTTGTAGTCTTGGTATCCCTAAGGAGGACTCTTCAGATTACCACCACAGGATTCCCATGATGCTAACACAGATCAACGACAAGATTACCACTAACGAAAACAGGTTAGTAACCGGTATGTGACACCCTATATTGTGCTCACGTTGCTAGTGCATGYCGCTTCCAAGACCACTGGGTTTAGATAAACACTAACCTTCTAATTCGAGGCAGTGTGCTGAACGTAATGCTTTCAACTAATAATTGTTTAAATGAATAAATAAATAGATTAATAAACTAATAAATGAAGGAAGGAAGGAAGCAGGGAAAGAAGGAAGGAAGGAAGGAAGGGGGAAGGAAGGAAGGA